CTAACGTAGTAGAACAATGCGTATTTTTAGAAGGAAATACATGCTCTAACAAGTCTCACTCCTAGTAAATGTAATAATTACGAATAACGTACGGATCTCTTCTCTCAATGATTCTGTTTCAATGACTGTTAGGATTTTGTAACCAGCGCTCCACCTCGTGACCTGATTGAATCACTACGTGTTGACGTAGCCTCGAACTAATAGACGACTACATGTCCGGCAAACATTCCCCCAATGTAACATTGCGGTTACCGAATTCTCTGAATCCGAATTCCCTGTACTGCTAGCAGAAATCAATCAAATAATTACGATAATCAAATGCTTGAATTACGATTAATATTGCACAAGGGTGCATGGACACATAATTGCTTCCAGTACATTTACGTTCAGTACGCTGTCCGATATCCATAGTGTCCACAGATTCACGTGAACGCCTTCGGTAGCCTTATATGACGAGAAAATCGTCATTTAAAACTATATAAGTAAGGCATATTAATATAATAAGTAATTGTTAAATCGAATTAGTTTTGTTGCACAGTGTGCGTGTTGTAATTTTCTCTCTCTCTCTCTAACAAGGCCTACTTTTATGTTACCTCCGGGTGTGTGGCCTCCGGGACGGAAGATAGCCAGTGAGTCAGCTTGACAGGGAGGGTTGTAGTTACAGAGCAGTTGGCGTGAATGTTTGTGGCGTCTGCTGGCACCAGCTATAACTATATACCCTTGTTTATAATTAATTTATTTGCTCTAACTTTACGATAGAATTTGCAACTTAATTAATTAAATCGGAATCCTAAATATGCAATGCAGAACTGGATTCCTTATAACACTACTAATTAGCATCCAAGCATTGTCATGCCATAAAATCGTTAGTATAATATCTCACAATTTAAGTATGTGAATGTATTATTGTATCAGAAAATGAAAGTTGGCAAAGTAGACGTAGGCCCCTATGTCGGAGACAGTGTAAAATAAGTGTATATATTTCTCATACCTTTCGTGTATTTATCCTTGGTAGTCACACAGATTCATATTTTACTCAGGTACAAATTGTTTGTAATGATTGCTTCGATGACTAGGCAAGAATAAAATGTCATCAAAAATTATTTATTCTTTTAAATAAATTAAAATCACCTGCGATTCCGATCGTATTATGAACTTGACTTGCCGCTCGCGGCTTTAAAGAAGTTGAATTCGCCGCACCAGGCACCAGACGCCACCTTAAGCAACTACAATTACTTACTAAAATAAAATCCTAGGCAGGGGATTGTTCCTAGACCTGCCTCGTCTACGTCTCCGGCACAGTAGATGCAACTATAGTCTTTCAATATACAGCCATACGACAATAGCTGGTATAATTACAATAAGGCAGTGCCAACTTATAGCTTAGACCTGACATATGTCTCTGTTTCGCTTTGTGATATTATAGGTACAACGCGTAGGTACTTCAACACAGCGACACTACAATAATATTGTACTGTGAAAAGGTTGAAGATCTCAGTGTTCTCGTAGAGTTGGCAGCGTAGTCTTGTAACAAACAGTAGATGACGTAGTCGAAGATTCGTTGTTGAACTAGGACTTTTTTAGTACTTGACACATAGAAATATATTTACAACACACATACTAAATACAGCCTAGGTGACCATGCCTAGGTCCCGTGCTCTCCGTTTCCGTGTGTCTATCTACATCGTATCTGTGTATCTACTTCTCTAGTATCTCCTCTATCTTTAGTATATCTTCTTTCTCGTTGTCAGGGTGGTTAGGGTGCGCGCGGTCGCCTACATTACACAACAATAACTTGCTAGGGTTAGAAGTTTAGACAATTAGTCGCACAGCCCTAATTAGCCCGCGGCCCTGCAATACAGCAATCCTTCATTCCCTCTCGAAAAGAATCGTGTACTCACGAAAATACAGTTATACATAAAAAACACATTAAAATATGAATAGGGGAAAACATTAGTCCAACGTTGTAAACCTCAACAGTGCCATAATATATGTTAGAAGTGTGCAATATTATTATAATGTAATTTTAGAAAACGCCGACACCGACTGCGTTTACGCGTGATATGGTGATGTAAATCCGTGGGGTAGTACTGTATAGGGATGGAAAGTCCGGTTTTGACACAAGTTGAGGGGGATATTGCTGCAGACGTCTAGTGAAAATCGTCATTTTCAGCTCACCTTGACATCGTCAAGCTGAGCTATTGCCATGGGTCGTCGTCCGTCGTACCTCCGTCCGTCCGTCCGTCCGTCAACATTTGGCTACGGTCAACGATAACTCAGGAACCGTTTGACCCACATGTTTGAAATTGGGTATAGTTGTTACTGCTATGCTCCCATATTGAACGTCCTATTTTAGAGCATGCCAGTCGACGTACTTTCGAGCCACGACAATTTTTTGGCAAAAATGTGAATTGCCATTTGTCAGTTCAGGTTCAACGGATTTTGCTCATTTTTAGTATGTAAATGAATAAGGGCTAGGGGTTTTGATATTTAACAACAAATTATGCAAATTAGGTAGGTTTTTGCAATTATTTAGCATATTATAATATAGCCACGCAGATAACAGTCTGTGGTGTCACACTCGTCTGGTTCGTTTTACAAGATTTCATTGACAATATCTTTAATGCAAAATTGGTATTTCCTAACCCACCCTGCCGATAAAACGTCTATATTCGAGTAAAGTTTTACAAAACATGTCGGAACGCAGCATAACCTATTTATTTCGAACGCCATCGCTAAGAAACATCAAAGCGGGTATAGCGCCATCTACCGTCACAAATTGTGATTCATTTTGGTTTATAAATTATTATTGCGATATATAGATGGCAACCGTGTGCTACCGCCTAGAGAAACTCATACGACGTAAACACTTTCATGCAACCAATTAACCTTTGACAAAAGTTGTGTTATGGGCAGGGAAACACCATTGTTACGTGGTATATAGTAGCTACGTGGAATAAGCGTATCCTCTCAATCTTACACATTACACATCGGGAGCTTCGCTTTTAGGCAGTGCCTAAATCTGAATGTTATAAAAACGTTAAATGGCGATCATTTAGGTGTAACGCCATCACTCGCCCTCATCTCAGACTTCCACATCTCAAACAATTATTTTCGCATAAAAAATTACACATATAATTATCAAGAGTATATAATGTGAGTTCTCCCATAATTATATACTCTTCGTTTCTATAATGTACGTCGATGGTTGCTCAATTAAAACTGACTTCTTCTCACTCACTCATTCGTGTCCTTTTTTTGTGGTGAGCTACATAATCATTGACACTTTCATCGTATCACAGCAGCGGGTCGACAATCTGCACCGGAAACTCAACTCGTATCGGCAAGGAAAGCCAAGGAAGGAGGGCGATACAAGGATACCATATCTTATAAAACGCGTCAGTAATCGGTTAATCAAAAAAAAACACACACACAAAACAAACAAACGAACGACGAAACATAAAAATGCAGATAGCACCGGCTAAGCTATATCGTAACCACAGCTATGTCGTGGTATAATTATAATAGACCGAATGGTATCGGCAATTGTGACGCATGACGTGGTAGACGTACCTCTTTCCGGGCAGAGCTGCTTTAGCTCGTTCGTCATATTTAATTACATATCCGTTTAACGTACCATGGTGAGTTTGCCGTAATATGCCTCTGTTGGCAGGGACGCTAATTTCAGCTTACCCTATTGGCCACGTTCGAGGTCATACTTTAAAAATCGGCGAGGTCTCGGCCTCCCTCATCGCATGGGTTCACAATTATATATTCTTCTCTCCTGTTCGACGGTTTGAGTCACAGTCACGCCGCACAATGAAATTTGCATACAACGCTAGCTATAACTACGAAAATTCGCGCGCTGCTCTGCAATTCGCAAGCTATTTTACTGTTAATAAATTATTTCCGAACTCGTGGCTATGTATACAGCGAAATTACGATGTATAGCTTATCCTAGCGTCGCCGCGTAGATTTATTCTTCTTCATTTGCTCCTCGACGTTGCTCGGTGTGAACTTTTCCCATAGCTATCAGGCAGGTGGACATACTTCACTTGATCTTCTAGTGTTGGATTGTATTAAAACATGCAGATAACTGTATAAATTACTAATATACATTACGGGCAAGTGCTTTGTGTATTCTCTCCTCTAGTTTATAATAACAATAATGAGTTTCAAGCCATGTGTCATCTCGTATGTCGTTAGTAACCAGTCATTGCACCCGTCTCACGAATTTATACAATACAGAAACACAACGGGTAATATTTCCGATTACGCAGTGTCGCATCGAGAATTCCTTGTGCTTGATCACATTATACGATTGCTTGCACGAATCAGTTATATAATTTATATTTATTTCGTTTTTAATATAAAAAAAACAATTTCTGTATAATATAGGCCTACTTAATTTATGTGTATTTCATTTCCGTTTAATTTTCCGTTTGTTTCCTCCCGACCTACTTCTTTCCGTTAAATTAGTTACTGTCATTTGTATTGATAATATTAATTAAAATTTAATTAATTTAATCACATACTATCGAGATGCATTACGTTTGTGCATATACCGCGCAAGTTCAGATTTTGTTCCCTTTATTTTATTGTCCGACTGTTTACACGGTAAAAATTCAAAATCTAAATAGAGTGATTTTCATAAGCAGGAAAATTAAATGATTTGTTAAGGTCGTCGAATTCACCACGAAGGTCGCTAGCAGTCCTCAAGGAATGCGACATCACAAGGGGAAGTGATTCAAATCCAGGTTGCCACGAGTATGCATTTTTATCGTTTTAGCAATCAAACAATAAATAATCTTACTCCCAAATATTGCAGGCTTTTTTATTAAGATTATAGCAATTTTATTTGATCTGCCCGCCTAGTGGCGACTTTCGTAGTGAGGATCTTAATATCATCTAAATTTGTTGAAATTCAGCGGCAGTGTCAGATTTGTTGGAAAGCAGAATAAATACGTCGCCAACTGCACCAGCAAGGCAAAAACTACCAACAGCGTTAATATTTTTTTTATTAGTAGCATATTTATTACATAACACAAATCTATAAACGATAATATTTCCAAACAAATAATAATGAATAAAACAATTCTTTAATGTAGAACGTTCGTTATCGTGTTGCATAATTGCAATATTACAAATAAAAAAACGACCCTTATATCGTACATTCACAGATATCGCTCGAGTGTCAATCTAAACAAAATCATTCTTTTAACAGTATTGTTTTCCTCGACGCTGATGACGTCATGGTGTCATGTGGGTAACGTTCATGGGGTGTGGTGGTGGTGGTGGTGGTGGTGGTGGTGATGTGAATGTCGCACAAAGATGAGCATCGTATCGGCAGATTCGTACGCTGCAACGATAGAATTCGCATATATTACATCACGGGTATTGTTATTACTAGCATCAATGAAAAACCAAGGAATACCATTCATAGGCATACTCACAGTTCGGCGAGCATGCGGCTCCTTCGGGGCAATACAAGAACATGGGTCTCTCGTCTGGATTCATGTATCCCCACTCACAGGGATCACACTCTTCTGGCATCCTGTCGAGCACTACGATCCAGCCAGGATCGGAGCAGCAATTGTCGTCTTCATGAATATAGAAGCGTCTCTGTATAGATGCCGACGCGTCTCTGAAGTAGACGAACAGACTTGCACGAGGCTACGATAATATCACACTATAATAAATACTATCAATTAGTATACTAAATAACAGGGGCATATGTTGTCTTCTAAAAGCTACTGGCCCATGCCAGATATGATATATGATAGATTAGATATGATGATGAAAACCGAATATCAAATACATACCCTGCTATACTGCAGTAATCAGTAGGAGATCCCGGATGAAGGTCAGAGAATGACGAAGAAAGTATGTTGTCTTCTGAAAACCACTCTACTTTGTTTTGGTTCCGACCATCGAAATTCACGAACATTACGACGTCATCGTTCTTCAGGAATACCACTTTTACCTAAACAAGGATGAGCAATTCAGTTTATTTCCGTTAGCAGCGAGTGGTTGTAATGGTTTAATCTCCACAATATTCTCTGACAGTACCGGTACCGTTATTTAAGTTATCACACCTGCTTTATCTCCGTCCATTCGTTGGCCATGTGTGACTTGTAGTTGATACGGTAGTGAGAAGTGGGAATCATTGCTTCTGGTACATTTACGTTCAGTACGCTGTCCGACATCCACAGTGTGTACAGATTCATGGGAACGCCCGCGGTACCCTTGAACACTAGTTCCCATTGAGGTCCAAAGTCTGACAGCACAATCGAAAAAAAATATTACATTTATATAAAACTTTATATAAATACATATTATATAAAATTTATATGCAATACAATATAGAACTGAAATACATACACACTATCTTCTGCACATATCGACGTGTACGAACCTACGGATGGAGTGAAGATATGATCTGCCCACGTCGCCTCACACGTGGCATGTATGACGTTAGCGTTGCAGATGCAGACAGGTGCGTCATGGGGGTGGTGAGGATCAGGATGCGGATCAGGATCGGGTGTAGAAGCGGATGTAGAAGAGGGTGTAGAAGCGGATGTAGAAGCGGATGTAGAAGCGGATGTAGAAGCGGATGTAGAAGCGGATGTAGAAGCGGATGTAGAAGCGGATGTAGCAGTGGGGTGGTGGTGATGGATAAAATCCTGGTGGTTCGAATTCCCACCGGCAGAGTTCGCTGTGGTGGGCACTGCAGGTTTGCCTCTACCAAGGCCTTCACCACCGAATCCACCAGCAACGGTGAGGATCATGTGTGCAACCAACAGCCAGCACACGGCAACCCAAGCAATCGTAGATGACATTCTCTTCGTGCTGTTTTCTCCGAATCTATTTATTCACGCGAGCTACTGGAAATAGAAGCAAAAAAAGCGCGCGCGTACTTAACGGTGTCACGGCAGTGCGTGATGCATAGAGAGCACACTTTTTTTCGATACACGTGCAGAGCAAACAACTAGGCGTAAACTTACACGCACATTATCAATACTAACGCTTAGTATACGCGGTATGAACCATACTTACCTCACTGCCGGCCGCTGTGTGTCAAGCTCTCCCATCACGACAACTTATATACCGGCGTGTTGCGTGACCGTGAGGCTATTGAAACCAGCGCTCCACCTCGTGATCACATTGAATCCCGACGTTTTGACGTAGCCTCGTACATCGCTGCCGTATATACAACATACACCAAAGCCCTAGCTAGCGGGTGGGGAAGGTTGCACCCCCCCCCCAACACACACAAACACAGACCAATAAAGATACAGATTCAGGTCAATGGCGAACTGCCACGGTCGCCCCGAATTGGACAGGACACAAACCGCACGCGAATTTGCCAACCGCGGGCAAAACGAGTTGACTACACTCCGGTAAATGCAAAAGTCTATACCCTAGCCTATCAGCTGGGATTCACCACTCACTGTGACATTTGCATTACCGTTAATTCACAAACCCGCTATTCCGACCTGAACACTTCCTTGGTTATCGAACAAGCGTGCGAACACTACATGGACTGATGCTCTATCGCTCTTCACCAACGAAGCATCAATGTATTACTGTATGAATGTATGCTTATTTATGCATTAATTTACTGATGTATTAATGTAGGCCTAACTGGTGCATTGACGCATAGAAACAAGACTCTGGGTGGCATATACAATAAAAAACAGAACTCTCGTCATGTGGCACATGGAATACATAGAATATATGCATACTATACGACTGGCTAGACAGCGCATACAATACATGAAACATAAACTGCGAGCATATTTAAATTCTAAATTACACATGTTATATTATACATACTTGTGCAAACTGATCCGTTGTACTGTACGTACGTATAGGTGGACACAACTTAAGCATAGTCAATACTCTACGTCTCTGGAAGTTCTGGCATCAATCGCATATATTTTACCATTTCGATTATCGTGTTTGATCATTTTCATGATCTTTCATGCTCTCGTGTTCAGTATTTCTGTAACAGATCAACGTTAGAACATCGAGTAATCAGTTCGGAACCGCGCGTTTGAACTCAAGCGGCGAGTCAAGTTGATAATGCAATTGGAATCAGGCCTGCTATAGCAGACACACATACACACACGCGCACACACACGCATGCCTGCACATACGCACGCGGGCAGCCACGCCCGCCTGCACGCTCGCACGTATATATATATATATATATACGTATATAATTATATATATATATATATATATATATATATATGTCTGTGTGTGTGCGTGCGTGCGTGCGTGCGTGTACTGAATAAACGATAACGAGGTAAGATCGAGGCTACGTCAACACGTAGTGATTCAATCAGGTCACAAGAACCTTACAGTAAACGGGAGGGGATAATTGAGAAACAGATTTGGTAGACATTCACATGTACATGAGCGTAGCTAGAAAATTTTGCCTGGGTTGGCAAATTCGCATGTGGTTTGTTTCCTGAACAATTGGGGGCGACCGTGGCAGTTCGCCATTGACTATGTAATAGTATCTCTATTGGTCTGTGTTTGTGTGTGGCGGGGGGTGCAACCTTCCCTCCCCGCTAGCTAGGGCTTTGGTGTACGTTGTAGGCCTATATACGGCAGCGATGTACGAGGCTACGTCAAGACGTGGGGATTCAATGTGATCACGAGGTGGAGCGCTGGTTTCAATAGCCTCACGGTCACGCAATACGCCGGTATATAAGTCGTCGTGATGGGAGAGCTTGACACACAGCGGGTGGCAGTGAGGTAAGTATGGTTCATACCGCGTATACTAAGCGTTAGTATTGATATTGTGCGTGTAAGTTCCCACATAGTCGTCTGTTCTCACTAATGTCATACATCAAATGCTCCGTATGAATGACGCACGTGTATATGTCACACTCTACAGGGTACATGACACGGTTTTTGTGTTTTATTTCTTGTAGATTGTGTGGATTGATACAATACTGCGGTCAGAAGTAGCAGTGATAATGTCATCTGCGGTTACCTGGTCTATCATGTGTTGCCTGTTGGTTACGCACGTCGTCCTCACGGCTGGACATGACGATGATGATGATCATGACGATGATTGTCATGACGATCATGACGATGATCATCATGATCATTATGATCATGCAACCTGCGTGTGCAACATCACTGCAGTAGAGACGCCATGTGATCATTCGTGGGCGAACCACCTGTTTAGTCCACCTATAGGTTAGTATATCGATATATACATACATATTACGATATGGGCAAGGCGAAGTAGTATTCTAATGCAGCGTTAGATTATAAGGATGACAGGCTTGATAGTATTCTTACCATAATATAATAATAATATAGTAATATATATATATAGTAGTATATAGTAGTAGTTTCCACCAACCCGGTAATTTTTACCATTCGTCTTTGTGCTGTCAGATTTTGGAACTGAATGGGAACTAGTGTTCAAGGCTACTGCGGGCGTTCCCATGAATCTGTACACACTGTGGATGTCGGACAGCGTACTGCACGTAAATGTACCAGAGGCAATGATTCCCACTTCTCACTACCGTATCAACTACAAGTCACACATGGCAAACGACTGGACATATGTAGAGGAGGTGGGTTGTCGAACTTAGTCACTGCATTTTTTATGGATGTTTTTCTCGATGTAATTTTTCGTGTTATATCTCTCACATATATATCTATATATATAATTGTATATATCATATATATAGAGATGTATAATATTTATATAATATACAGAGATAGTGATAATTATATATATTTCTTTAGGTAAAACTGGTCTTCCTCAAGAACGACGAAGTGGTGGTGTTCGTGAATTTCAACGGCTGGTGTGAGGACAGAGTAAGTTGGTTTTCAGAAGAAAACATCATCGACTCTTCATTCTCTGACCTACCAAGCTGTACTTTATTCACCAGTATAGCAGGGTATGTATTTTTGAACATTGGATAATTCGCCATGTGGCTATTTCGAACATTCCAGCTGCTATGCTAACGTTTCATATTTTTCCATTTTGGTAAGACAACGAGCCAAAATATCGCGTTTGGTTATCGAGGGATTGCTGTAAGGGTGAGGTTGTTATTTTCTACAGGGACTCTGATTCTGACATGCAGAGACGGTTTTTCATTCATGATTCTTACACCTGCTGCTCTGATGACCCTGGGTGGATAGTCGTGTTGGATAGGATGAGCCCACAGGAGGATGACGAATGTGACTGGGGAATTATGCGTCCGTCCGAGAGACCCATGTTCCTGTATTGTCCCGACGGGGAATCGTGTTCAGCAACATGTAAGTTTGACATACTTTTGCTCTGATTCTTTATTGTTTTTATCCCAAATTTAAGGACTGATTATAATTATTGATGCGTTCTATGGTTGCAGCATATACTTCTGCCGATACAATGTAATTGGCGCCTCATAATCAATGCAACCACACCAGGAATGTCGTTTGCGTTTTTCCATCGTTACAGCATATACGTCCGCTGATACAATGCTCATCCTTGTACGGCATGGTCTTGGATCCGGTTCCTGTGAGGATTGAGCTGTTCCGTCACTGCAGTATATTCTATTACTGAGCGTCACCGATCATGATTCACTGCAAATACGCCTGCCAAAACCGGCACAAAGTAGTATTGGTGCTAGGCTAATCATTTTAAGGAACGATGTTGGTTTAGTTTTACAAATGTCTGTGCTTAAATGATCCCCGATGTGTGGACCTTGATTGGATCTGAGACAGTGGTCAATTTTTATTTATTAATATTTTCATATAAACAAGTAACACCTTCAATAATGAATGTGACTTAATTAAAGAAGAATTACGTTTTATATTCAAGTTATTATTATTTCTTATTACATCTTGATTGACAACATTATTAGCAGAACATGTTATTATGATAATAATAAATATGGTACTATAAAAAAAACTGTTGCACTTATTTTGTTTGTTGGTTTGTTGGCTTGGTATTGTTATCACCTATAATAAGAAAGCTATCCTGGAAAGCTTCCTTCACAATTCCTTATGGTACAGAAATAACAAAAATCACTTTGTATATATTATCACTATATTTAACAATATCAGTAATGCACTTAACGCAGATGGTAATACCACTGCCGATAAAAATTAAACTATAATAAATAACATTTCAATCACGCTCCTACAAGCCCAGTTCCATCTTCACAAATGCCTTTTCAACCGCTGCCCATAAAAATTATGGTCCCGGTTAGTCCGCCGGCACCACTGTCTTTTCCCTCGGGTTTGTCTGTAGAGCTACGCCCACGAGTCGTGTACATGGAGAGGGGCTCAGGCAGGTTGCATGCTCTCCTTGTAATGTAGTTCTCAACAAGCTCCCGTCAACCTCTCTGAAGAGGGTGCATCATTGCGTAAAATCAGGTTGTTCAGACAGTGCCAGACAGTGATTGCAGCCTCGATCTTTAAGATTTTTGGAATAACTTTCCCAAGAATGATATCCATATGAGAGTGAGATGACTTTTTCAAATTCCATGCTTCAGAATTACCTACTCGATCAGCTACCGTACTGTGCAGTGTACTGGTACTATCGTTGTCAGTGTTCATGTTGTAACTAAGGATCCGAAACTCATGTCCTATTTGCCGTCATCATATTGTAGTGGCCCTAGGGGTAGCCGACTACGGTATGACAGGCGTTATATAGTTAACGCGTGTTTAGTTGTATGGATTCAGTGTTTGCTCCTGCCGTTAGGCAGGACGGTGATGCCCGTAGCAAATAACAAGTAGTACCAGTGGAACAGAACACAGTTAGATTCGGTTAACTGTACGGTTATAGTTTTATTGTTGCTTACTAGATTACAAATGATTCCCCTGCATTCGTATATGCAGCGGATCCTATAACCCCTAGACTAACAGTAAAGAATTAACGCGTCGCCGGTTTCGTCTTCCCCTCTCTCGTTTGTCCTTTCGTCGCGTAGACCTAGGTAGTCTCCAAGGGTGTCTCCCTCGTAGTCGCTCCTGGCTCTACCTAACTGAAATCCCGTTCTTCTCCACCTGTAGTGAAAGATCCCGGCTGAGCCCCCATTTTACCTGCAGTCTTCTTTCTTTCCCGTTTTATTCCCCTCTCCCGTTGTTCTACCTACCTGAAAACCCGGGCTTCTATTCCCTCTGTTATCTCTCTTCCCGAGACCTAAAATGCTTTCTCCCTCTTTCTCTTCTTCTTCTTCTTCTTCCTCTTCTTCTTCTTACCTAAACCTAACCTGAAAAATAACGCCTACGCTGCTCGGGTCGGCGCGCCTTATATATACCTAGCTGGCAACGCCCACCCTACGTGCCGTTGTTTAGTACGCATTGTCAAAACACTACGAATTTTGCACAGAGGAGAGTTAGTGATCCGCTAGGGGACGGCTCTGATTGGCTAATTTTGTCTTTTATTTATTTTATTTTTTATTATTTTTGGCTAATTTTGTTTTATTTTAGAATTAGGGATAGGGTTAGGGTTAGGGTTAGGATTAGGGTTAGGGTTAGGGTTAGGGTTAGGGTTAGGGTTAGGGTTAGGGTTAACTGATTTCTATATCCACAACTTATTTCTATATTTACTATCTCTCCTCTGAGACCTACTAAAACACTACTCCCCACGCAGATTTCGTTAGCTGGTGCAACAGTTTCACCAAACTCCACGACAGATGGCGCTCTCGCTCTGGCTCAATTCTACTGAGTGAAATATCCTGAGTGAGCGAAGGGAGGTGTAACGTAGTATTTGGACGCTCCGTATGCATGCTCTTTTGTTTTGCTCTTGTTTTCTTTTTGTTTGAATCTTGTTTAGCACGGCCATAGGAAATAGTAGACATGCTCTTTTTTCTCTTTTTTTGCCTTGTAACCTGACACACATAACACAGTCTTACTAATTTACTACATATTGCAAATTGTTTCAATCAAATGTTTCCATCAGTGACCGGGAAGTCCGCCATGTTTGTTTATTGCAACCGTGTCAAAGGGCAAGATGCGCAGATGACTACTGCGCATATTGCGCATGCGCTGTGTGCGCCCTTGCAAAACAAGAGGCGCCTGTGCGCATGCGCACTTAGAAGCGTCCAGTTTCGGGCGAGCGTCCAAATACTACGGTATATGAGCACTGTATGCAGTTTAAACCCGTGGCTGGTACAATTATTGCACCATCTGATGTAACTCGTTTCTAAGTAAATATTCCTCTCTTCGACAACATAGACTATGCATTCTATTCAAATCTCCTCGTATATTATGCTAATGAATAGTACATAAACGCGTTGATTATCATACTCTATATATCGCGTTCTTGTTTACATTCCTTGTTCTGAGCACCTCCCAACAAAAAAAACTATCAAAGGAAGACTTACTAAGGATTCTAACCTCTGTGGATGACGATGACATCCCGTCTGATACACACCGTATCATGCTAAATAAGATTAAAGGAAGGATCATCGATAAGGTCAGTCAAGCCATTAAGACAGTCATTCAAGATAAGTTAGCCCCCCTCACGCAAGAACTTAAGAGGATCAACGGAACCGTCGCTTACCTGGAAAAAAGCCAGAACTTCTTGGCTAAGAAGTATGATAGTATAATTGATGAAAACAAGGTACTCAAGCTAACCGTCTCGAAACTGGAGCAAATCGCTAGCACTAACTCTATGACTATTGACGCACTAGACCAGTATGAGAGGAGGGAGACCCTAATTTTTACGGGAATCCCCCCCAATAGTGTAGAAAGCACCGATGCACTAATAATTGATGTGACTAGTGTCATGAATATTAAAATCAAACCAAAGACAGTAGCGTCTCACACAGACTTCAAAATCATAACTATAGGACCCCACCATCAATCATTGTAAAATTCACAACACGAAACTTGAGAGACAAAATATATGAACATAGAAAACTTGCACTGACACTTGATAAAATTGGCTTCACCTCCACAGACAAAATATTTATTAATAAGAGTCTAACAGAAAACAGAAGACGACTATTCTCGAAGTGCCTGTCACTAAAAAAAGAAAAAGGTTACAGGTTCCTCTGGACTAGAAATGGCCAGATCCTGACCAGAAAAACTGAAGCATCTGAAATAATTCAAATTAACAACGATCAAGACCTTACCAAAATGCTATAGGATAGCCCAGCCAAAGCGGCTCAGTATCGGAATAAACCTGATATTTATTTTGATCATGATTAATTATCCATGTGCACACTTTAACAATCCATGTAAAACTAACCAACAAGCCATTTTTTGCGACATCTGCCGTAAAATGCATGGTGTCACCTTAAATGCACATCTCTTAACCAGAAAGACCTTGAGACACTTGATCGCATCATCTGACATACCATACTACTGCACAACAATATAGGCTGTCTAAATAAAAGATAGCGTCTGCATTTCACATTAAATTATACAAATACTTGCAATAATGATAGCTTAAGTAAAAAAATACCAATACTTTTGGTCCATTGTAGGCTTTTTCTATGACGATTAATTTTTTAAATATTTAGCATAATTTAAATGTATAAAATGCATATGTTTGTGAATGGCGGCCATTTTAAAATCCAAAATGGCGCCCTAATATGAATTTAAAAAATGTAAACGTTGGTTTCCGATTCAGTACCATCGTAAAGATTACAGAAATGCATATATTTGCAATCTCAAATCGCAGCAACCTCATAATTAGGACATAAGAACCTGCAAAACAGCTGAAATAGCTGAATAGCATACTGTCCTCACTTGACGATCTGCAGCCCGGATATCCGCCCGAAGCGCGCAAACGCCGCGTAGCGGCGACACAATGACTTATTCGCTGCCCTCTATTTAGAAACATCTTCCCGAGGCCCTCTGGGTATAACAGAAAGCCGCATAATCTGTCAATTGAGGAGTTGTGGTGATTGCAGAAGCCTTTCAACTCTGCACGTAGGGCGAGAATAAATCCAAATGCTCGTAAGTGCTACTTTTCTGGTCGGCGCTTTAGGTTTTCCTCTAGAAAAGCGAGTTTGCATTTCTTCCGTTTCACGCCCTGAACTTATTCTCGTACATATGGCGTCCCATAGATGGCGCGACGAGGCTCTCTTCGAGGGATTTTCCAGAGAATTTTCCACACAAGGATCGGCGATTCGGCTTAGACTGCTCCGCGGTGGAGAGTTCCACACGCTGCACTAACTATAACTTTAGTGTAGCGAAAGATACTGGGCGAGTTAAGGTCCGTACCAGTCTAGCTGGAATCGTGACGTGGGATTGTAATTATCGTAGCAATCTTGCGTTTCCCTCAGCGTGATTGGCTAAGCCCGTTGATTGATGTTTGTTTAGACTGAGAATTTGCACTAGATGTTCTCTGGCAAAAAAAACCCGCCGCCGTGGCGTCAGCAGCAGCAGCCGTATGTGCTGCCAGAGCAGAATCAGTGCGGGCGTCTGAAGGTCTACGAATGTTAAGAATTAACCGCGCAAAACGTTTCTGCATTTAACGTTGCGCAAAACTTTTTCAATATCCGTAGGTGAAACAGAGTAGGCCTAGCCTATAGTATAGAAACATTAAGAATTTTGTACTAAGTAAATACATTTACGGACTGTTGGATGAGTATTTGTTTTGAAATCGTATGAAATACAGCGAGTGTATTTAGTTAGCATTATATTCTATTGAAACGCTTCAAGTGCCTGTGCCTTCAGTCTATGGAAAACTACCAAAGCGTACGTACAGCATTTTTGCATATATTACATCGTCCCAGCGTGCTGCTTATAGCAAAACACCGTCTACCCTGCGGTCGAGGGGGGCCCTGATTGCTCTTGTGCAGAAAAACTTCGCAGAAAAACTTCGACTCGCCTGCTCGCAGTTACCTTGACGGTCCAACCCCTATATATACGCTATATAGCATGCACGACTCCTACGGCTATCAACAACGCCTAGGATATACTCAACATACTAGGCTACTCTATAGTGATTTTATGTGATTATTAC